TCTCTCTCTCACACACACACACACACACACATACAAAAAGTCAGCTGCAAAATGCTCCTTCTTAAGACCCTAAGAATTGGAACTAGGAATCATTGATCTAAATGGACCTTCCGGGGGAGGCGAGAGATTTGAAGTCAACCTATTACATAGAATAGGGGAAATAGAGAGACCCCGCATGGATAGAGTAACAGAGAGAGAGAGAGTGATTTGCTAATGGATTTTAATTAGAGAGAAAAAATAGCATTTCTATTTTTGGGGTTTAGAAAGAGAGGGAATGAATTTTTCCAAGAAGAAAGGAGAAGCATTTGGAGACGGAGAGGGGGCTTACTTTCCAGGGATAGAGAAGGCAAGGGGAAAGAGTTTCAATTACTTCATGGGATAGGAGAGAGAGAGAGAGAGAGAACATGGAAGAAATTTATGTGAGATTTTCGAGAGACCCACAATGTCTAGGAGCAAGATAAAATAAACTGGCAATACTTTTCAATTCACGGTGAAGAAATAAGTTTTTTTTTTGTTTTTCTTTGTTTCTTTTAGGAGAACAATTTTACATCGTGCATCCAAACAGGCCCTAAGGAAATATCACCATGGTATTGGCAATTATACTCAAGTTACCACACATGATTTGGGAATCAAATCAATTCCTATGAGAAGCATGCCACATTAGGTCATCATCATCATCGTCAAAGCTTATCCCAACTAATCTGAGGTCGACTACACAAATCCCGGTATGTCATTCTGCTCTATTAAGGGTCATACCCTTAGTGAGGCCATAAGTCCCCATATCTTTTCTCACTACTTTCAACCATGTCCTTTTGGGCCTACCCCTTGTCTTTTTTTAGCCTTCCACTCGAACTAACTCACACCTCCTAACAGGTGTTGTACTGAGTCTGTGCCACACATGGCTAACCAACCTAAGTCTACTCTCTCTCATCTTATCGCCTATTGGTGCCATACTTAATTTTCCCCAATGCATTCATTTCGAATTATATCTTGTCTTGCCACTCATTCATCTCAACATCTTCATCTCTACATTTCCATAAAGGCAAGCTTCAGATAATATTCAATGGTGAAAACGATGTTGACAATTATACTCAAGTTACCACACATGATATGGTAATCAGATCAATTCCTATGAGAAGCACACCACATTAGGTGTTATCCATAAAGGCAAGCTTCAGGTGATATTCAATGGTGATACTTTCTCCTGTAATGTTCTTGCATTAGTGATTTGCAATTCACGGAATTGGGAGCAACAATCAAACACATATCTTGTTGATGAATAGAAACAAGGGCCAATAAGATATTGGGTGACCATGGGTTTGGTCATTGATATGTTAATATAAGATACTACACGGACGACTGCATGGAGTCGCAGGCAACACCCATTAAATTTCACGCAAGGCCATCAATAGAGCAACCTATGTAGTAGAACAATGGAAGAAATCAAGCAGGGGCCTGCTGAAGTATAAATATCTCTAAGTCATCTCACAAAGGCCCCTTTTGGACATCCACCTTTTTTGGCTTAGAGATAAAACTCCCTTATAGTAGTGCTGAGAAATAGGGGCCTGACCCGCTTGGTGCAACACCACCCACAGGAACAACTCCTGGAATCAAAACCTGTAAATACTCCAAATGCAGCCAATAGAGGGGTTTAGCTGAGAGAGACAAAGAAGAAAGAAAAAAAAAGGGATTGTATACTATGAAATCATTTATCTTTGCTACAAGAAGGTAACAATTATTCCTAGCCATTAGATTTCAAATTGGATGGCTTGGGGTGTGCCACGAAGTTCAAGAAATTTTTCTTTGAACTTTGAGTTTAGTCAAAGACATACTCATAACCACTCGAATCGAAATCTGACAGACAAGAGTGGTTGTGACCTACTTATGCTAAAAGACAATCATCTCTTTGCATACTTTTCACAAAAAAATGACCTCTTTTCCCATTATCAGCCAAGAAAGATGTATTTCTTTTTTCATTATCCGCAAAAGAATATCGATGGTGCCCATTCCTAAGATTGCACCTAATGGCAGGTAAAGATAAGGATGGGATAAGGCTATTTAGACACCCAAATAAGGCCATAGGTTTGTTAGAAATCTGGTTTTCAAAAAAGCTTCCGAATAAAAAGTTCAAGGAATGAGCTTGAAGTTATAGGTTTGCTGGACTGATAAGGCATCTAAGTCCCACAAGTCAACCAGCCTGTCTTAACCACTAAGCATCTGAGAGTCCAGGAAAGAAGCACCAATGGTAGACACCCCTTTGTAAGAATAAATCCTATATAAAACAAAAGTTCAAGATATAATGCAAAGATGTAGCAGAAATACTATGTTCATTACTTTATGATTTCCTCATTCAGAACATGAAGGGCAAACAAGTATCCCTTACTCTACGATTTCCTCATTCAGAGAATCAAGGGATTTCCTCATTCAGAACATGAAGGGCAAACAAGTATCCCTTACTCTACGATTTCATCATTCAGAGAATGAAGGGTAAACAAGTGTTCTTAATATAAGAAACAGAGATGAAACAAACAGAAATCACTAAACATTTTACTCCGTACAGAAATCTCGAACATTTATGAGAGAATCCATGGTAGACAAGGGATTCAGTTTGGCACATAAAGATAGACAGAAGACCACAATAAAAGATATAAGTAGACACATACAGCCACAAAAAAAGATATACGTAGACACATACAGCAAGAGCACCAAAAACTTTCATTAAGAAAGAGCCTGCTCCTTTCAGTTTCTCAGGGTTTCTCCCAGCAGCAGCCAACTCTCTGTCAGCCTGCAATTACGATTAAGATTGTAAGGAAAGAAATATAGAGAAAAACAAATTCTCAAGTGAGCTTAAAGCATTACCATTTCAGCTAGTCTCCGCATCTCATATGCAACCATGCACATAGCTTCCATGGCCCATGCAGATTCCCAGTTCCTAAATTCCTGCAGAAAGGCACTGTAGCTCTGCAGGTCAATTATAGGAGATAGAAATAACAAGGTACCAATAGTAAAACTTGCTACTATGGGAATTGTATACTTCTATGGAGGTAATCAAAGTGAAATTTACGACTCGTAAGAGGAATGAAAAAATTGAAGTGAAATAGAACCATTACTTCGCAGACTTCTCGAAAGCATTATATGCATCCACAAAATGATTGTTGCGGAAGCTTTGCACACACCGCAAGTAAGGGAGAAGTATTTCACTAAGCTGCCCATACTTGTCCACTTGCTTAACCACCCTATTTGCTTCCTATCAACCCAAAACAGAAAAGTATGCATGTATATCATTATTTGATTATTACAAGTCTCAAAAATCTATTTACTTAGTAACAGACAATTTCTAATACATATTATGGATTATGTATTAGAACAGTAGAAAGTTACACAAGCCATGACACAAGTTTTTTATCAAAATATGTGTAACCAGCCATTTAAAATTAGATACAGGGTTTCTTGACAAGCACAAGTCCAAGTTAGATCTAGTGACCAGATTAGTTATTGCAGAATCAGTTCTACTTAAGATTTTATTTTCCTGATAAGTAACATTATTGTTTTAATATTTCAAAAAGCACAAAAGGAGGTAAAATGATGTAAATGCAATGTTGGAAGGGATGCTTTCGAATATAAAGGTTTTAAAATTAGCAGGACAAGTTTACAAAATGGGGCAGAAAGGAGGCCTTAGTTCAGATCGATAGCCAAGAATTACTTAAAAGAGACTATTTTCAACATCTTGGATCAATAATCCATGTGAAAGGAGAGATTGAGAAAGATGTTGCTCATAGAATTAGAGCTAAGTGGACGAAAGGGCGATGTGCTTCTGGAGTCTAATGTCATCATCGCATAACAATGAAACAGAAAGGGAAGTTCTATAGGACGACTTTAAGAGCAGCATGCTTTATGAGGTGGAACGTTGGGCGATCAAGGAACAACATATCTGAAGAATGAGTGTAGTTGAGATGAGAATGTTGAGATGAATGAGTGACAAGGCAAGGCAAGGGGGGATAGAACCCAGAATGCGAGGGGACTTAAGAGTAGCACCAATAGGCTATAAAATAAGAGAAAGTAGACTTAAGTGGTCTGTGTGCAAGCTAGGATAGCACCAGTTAGGAGAGGTGATTTGGTCCAAGTCTGAGGGAAAGTAGACTTAAGTGGTCTGTGTGCAACCTAGGATAGCACCGGTTAAGAGAGGTGATTTGGTCCAAGTAGAAGGCTCTAAAAGGGCAAGGGAAAGGCCTCAAACGACATGGATGGAAGTAATAAAAAAAGATATGGTAGCTTATGGTCTTGACTGAGGGTATGGCCTTTGATAGAGTGGAAAAGTGAACAAGATTCGTATAGCCGACCCAAATAGTTGGAATACGGCTCGGATGATGATGATGACGAGAGAAGGAAGTGTAAGGAAACAAAATGTAAAGGTGGCATCTCAGTAACCCCTTCCAAGAATACAAAGTATTTGACTCCATGAAATATCAGTTTTTCTTGGATTGTTTTTTAATAAGGCATTCCACAACGACACAGTTTCACTTGGATTGTTCCCATTGCAACAGTCTCATTTCATCTGTTGTCAATAAGCATCTGCATTTTATCTTTGCTTAACAATGTTTGCCTACCTCTAAATCTTCCTAATACTTCATTTTCAAATTCCCATTGCATCTTTTCCAAGGATCTGAGCTAAAAAGATTGTTGTACACCAGATTGCCAATGAGTGAAAGGGCTTCCCCTAAAAGCTTGTCAGTTCACTTCCACAAACAACCTCATCACCGGAACATTGAATCGGGTTCCAAGGTGTAAAACACCCTGATTTTTTCTATCCAGTATTTATCTCTTCTGCATTACCCCAATCTATCAGTAAAATATGAGATCTGCCCACAAGCCAACATAAATACCTGCAACCAAAGCATCCCCTAAGGCGCTCTACCCCTTCCATGGTTGGAATTCACCCCTACAATCCTCCTGCCTAGCACCTAACTATGGCAGAGACTGCAAACTTCCACCCCTTTCTTGCACCAAGCATTCAGATTCCAATTTCATCACTTCCCATTTCTGCAACAGTTCTCCCTGGTTCTAAAAAGGAGGTTCAGGTTACCCTCTTCTCAACCCTCACACTTCTTCATCCACCCCTTTGATGTGATCCCCATCAAGTCTTTGGTCTTGATGCTAAATCACCAATAAGAACTTCCTGGTTGAAACGAGCCCGCAAACTACATTACATGTCAGTGCAACACTCAATTTACAACCTAAGGCTCTAGCATTACAATCTTCGGCCTTCAAATGGCGTCTTCTTCAAATCCATTGTTTACTTTCATTCCTTCAAAAGGTAAACTCTGATGCTATTGGTACCTTAGTGAACAGTATGCCAATTCATATCAATACACACTTTACTACATATACATATACACATTGCTATAGGAAAAGAAACACATTTCCTTTGAGAAAGGTGACAATACAAAACATGTTCATGACGAGGGAGACTTCATAGCAGCCCACAAACCGGGTGCTCCTTTAAAAAATGTTAAGAAAACAAAAGAGAAAAAGAAATAAGATAACAAGAGAACGGAAGAGTGGAAAAGGTCAAAGAAAGGGGAGGAAATAGGGGTGACGTAGAGAGATACATGAAGGAGATAGAGGGGAAAGGCATAGGAATAGCAGAGCGAGGAGTAAGACGTAAAGAGAAAGGAGAGCAAAAGTGTGTGGCGACTGAAGTAAGGTAGGATATATTGTCAAGCTTGTCAAAAAATAGGTGTAGTACAAAAATAAGCCGAAGCAGAGAGAGAGAGAGCCCAAGAAAAGCAGGGAGAGGCGACCCACAGACCGGGTGCTCGGAGATTGAGGGGGTGGGGAGAAGGGGCAACCCACAAGCCGGGTTCTTGGACAAAAGCAACAGGGAAGTGAGCACCGCAAAGAGAATTAGTCCAATTCCACTAGAAAAAATGTAAGGAAAAGTAATAGAAAGAAGAAAGAGAAAATGGTGAGAAGAGACAAGATTGAGAGAGAAGCGAGCACATCAGTCAAAAAATTAGGTGGAATCTTTGGTAAAGACTCATAGAAGCCAACTCGAAGAAGCTCGCACACATGTAAAATGCAGTCCAAAAACACGATGCCATGGGAATTGGCATCTCCTAACCACCACATAACAAAACACGATGCCATGGGAATTGGCATCTCCTAGCCACCACATAACATTAGCATTGTCCTTTTCCACTATAAGTTCATCCCCCTAAGGGGGATCGAATTTGGAGAGACCTTGGAGCAGAGCGTTAGCCACCATCTAAATGGAATTACCAAAGCAGAGAAAGCTGTTGAAAGTTGAGATAATATTAACATTGCAATCGTCGCACTTTGTCTAGGTGAAATACATTGGCTATGTCATTGTTAGATGTCCATGTCCAGGAAAACCCTCTGATACGCATGTCCAGGACTCAAAGAAGGCGACGTCGTCGTCCTCCTCCTTCCCCTGCCCCTCTTGCCACCTTTAACTGGATTTGCATCTACGACCTTTATCCCAAACCCCATTGGAGTTCCATCTGTCTTCTTCCAAAGACTAAGCGTTCCATTCCACCTATTCAACTAGTTCGTGAGCTTGGTGTTAAATCCTTTGATTTGAAGAAAAGGAAGGTCGTTCCATCTTTCCCTGCCTTTAGCTTACAGGGTAAGCAGCCTCCCTCTCCTCCCCCTGTTTCTTACTCTCAGGTTGCGGCTCGTTCCTCGGCCACAAATTCTCCTGGTGCACCAGGAGAATTAGTGGCCGAGGAAAGCTTTCCCCACATTCAACCTTTCCCCTTTTTGCCCTTTCATAGTCTCCATCCCTCCAGAAGAGTCCAACCACCTTAAAACCAAATTTACTGCTTCTCTAGTTGGCACTTTCCTCCCTATTAAAGACGACGTGAGAGGTATAGAAAAATGGGCTCAAAACATTTGGAAGGACCCCAATATTATAGCAAGGAGACTCTCTGGCGGAGACTACCTTCTTTCTTTCTCTTCCCTGGAACAAGCTTGCCTAAGTTTACAATCTTCTAACCCTTTGGTCTTCAAAGGGGCTACCCTCCACCTTTGTGTTTGGTCCTCCCAAGAAGGATCGTATAAAACGAAAAAAATCTAGCTAACCCTTCATCACCTACCACTTCATGTCTGGTCTCCATCTACCTTTAGAAGGGTGGCGGAGGCGTGCAGTAGTCTCATCTCGATCCATTGGAAGTCTAACGAAACTCTTCCGCTGGGGTCGATCTGTCTTCTCTTGGAAGTCCTAGATGCTAGTCTCATCCCCTCGAGTGTCTGGGTAGAAGCTGATAACCTATTCTATCCAATTTCCCTCTCTTGGTCGGATGCATCCCCGCCATCAGCCCACTTCCTTAACAGGTAGGCTCCCTCCCCAACCAAGGATCCCTCTTCTTCTTCCTGAATCACTGTGTTGCGTAAATCCGGCCACCACAAGAGGCGCCGTCGCCAGCCACAGGCATGGTTCAGGTTTGGACACAGTCCGTCCCAGCCCTCCGGCCAACCTCCAGCCAGCCTTCCAAGTGGCACTGTTTCGGCCACCACAGGACACCGTGATGTCAGCTCCCTGCCGACGTAGGCTTTTCTGCAGCCAATCAACACTGGCCCAAGCCCCGATGTCGGTGGGGTAGCTGAAGCCCGTCAACTCTCCTCGGGCTTGCAAGCTCCCCTGACTCACCACCCCGACAAGGAGGTCATATAGAGGATGAAGATCCACCAGGCCGTCCAACCGTGCTAGAGGGCTGCTTTTACGGGCTTGGTACCTTCGAGAGATCCATGAAGACAGGACCCAAATCTCGAAGACCACGAATGATGCCTCGACATCTGTCCAGGCCAAAGCTTTTCCCCTTCGATCGATAGACACGGGGCTTTCGAACCATCCCTCCACTCCCCACGTGGCGAACGCGCCAGCTCATTCGCATGCCCCTTCTCCTTCGATAGAGACACCAGGCAGGCAGAGGTAGTCAACCGCCTCCTTTTCACCTACCACCGTCCTTTCGTCTGCCTCCCTCCCCCCTTCCCAAGGCGGTCTCATAGTAATCGCTGCGCCACCTGGCCACATCCCGACGGCCCCCTCTCTCTCCTCCTCCTCAGCCGCCTCGGGTACCATCCCCTCCTTCACTTTCCCTCCCCACAGCCGACTGGAATGTTCTCAACCTTCCTCCCCTGTTTCGTCTTCCCCTCTTTCTCTTCTGCCTCCCCCCCCTGCTGGCTAGCTTCCTCCTCTAACCCTTCTGTTCCCTCTAGCTCTTTTCC